ACATCATTTTTCATAAAATATTCAGTCATATACAAAATAATAATTAAAAAAAAATTTAGGTTTAAAAAGAAAGAATTCATTTTAATTTTTTTGACTTGTCGCCTAAGCGGCGCTTTATTTGAGCCTATCCTTATCTCATTTATCGTTTCCATTAATTATGTCTACAAAAGCTCGAAGACGGTTGATGAATGATTTCAGAAAAATTCAACTCGACCCTCCTCCAGGCGTTTATGCCGTACCACAGGACGAAAATATATTATTATGGCATGCTGTTATTCTTGGTGCTGACAGTACCCCATTTGCTGACGGAATTTTTAAGTTAACCATGGAGTTTACGGAAAATTACCCCAATGTTCCCCCTACGGTTAAATTTATTTCAAAAATGTTTCATCCGAATGTATACGCTGATGGGAGTATCTGTCTTGATATTCTGCAAAATATGTGGTCCTCCTCCTATGATATAGGTTCCATCCTAACCTCCCTTCAATCTCTCTTAGGTGATCCAAATCCCAATTCACCTGCAAATACAGCGGCTGCTGAACTATATGAAGAAGATTACAGGTCTTATGAAAAGCAGGTTCGACGGATTGTTGAAGATTCATGGATATGTTGCGACACCATTGACCCTACCTAGTTTAATTCCTTTTGAGTTCATCATATATTTCCAGCGTTTGTATATAATATACTGATTACTTTATTTGTACCTTTATTTTTATATTATATACTCTTATTTATTATTATGTCTCAGCACACGCTCAGTAAACATAGGATTATTTATTGATACTGCTTATGCTGATTTACCTATCACTTTTTGCTTTATATTATTTTTATAATTTTACATTCAACGTGTCTATGCGGTAATGAAAAATGTAAATGTTCTTACATCTTGGATTTTTATAAGATTTGTCTGTTCATGTTTATATTTTTCCTCGCAATGGCACCGTTTCTTAGAACTGGTATACTTTTGGCCTAGACTCAGGCAAGATTCTCTATTTTGCTATAATAATTCTTAGGTTGAAGTTATCCACTTCTTTCAGCTGGCAATTATAATGGATTTCCTTCGTCCTCGTCAAAAAACATAAGTCGCCATTACGTGTAATTGTCATACTATGCAGGGATATGGGCATTATAATTAGCTTAGAATGTCCTTTGGATAATTAACTCATCATATATTAATTGCATTGCCACTATCTTAATACAGTCTTCATTACATAAGATGGAACTGGGAAGCTGACGCCCTGTGTACTGATCAAGCTTATAGTTTAGATGAGTCTCCTCATTTTCTTTCTATAGTGCTACATTTTCATTCCGATCGTTATTTTTTTAATCCCGATTAATTCGGGAGGTAGCTTAGTTTATCCTCTTGAATATTCCTTCAATCAAAACGATTATCTTATGCTGAGACTGAAACTAGAGGGAGTTATGGTCACTTTGGGCCACCGCTCTCGGATTTGTAAATATTATCTTTATTTTGGTTTATCTATGAATTTGTGGATAAACTCGATGCTCATGCTTCTTTAAACCAAGCAAACTAATTGTGGCGATAGAATTCATAAAATCATGTTTGAACTTATCTATAAGCTACGTTCTTATGATTGTATTGCTTGG